CGCTCGTAACTGTAAGCTCTAACGACAACTCCTTGGCGAAGAGAAAATTCAAACTTCTGCACATTCATTCCATAAAATTTTTCCGCAGAAATTTTGACTCTCAATGCATCGCTTTGTATACAAACGCTAATTAAAACCACATTCTCGTGAGAATAACGACAAAAGTTAAAAGGAAAATAAACTTGCCTTGATGTAATGAATTTATTTGTTTAATGCACAAAAATAGTCATAATTGATTGCAATAAACCCTGTTCAGGCTTCGGTTTGGTAGATATATACAAACAACGTCATGTGACGTCAGAGTCCCTAACGGTTGTACCGTCAACATATTAATTACCTGGGTTCCCCTGCTATATATAAGAGATTTTGGTGGTAGATAATTTACACTTCATGTATAGGAAAGTCCAATGAACTGGTGTAGTGTACAATTTTTCGGTGATGGTCAAGGCTCTGTGCTGTTCACACTGTCGTACATTCATGAGTGCAAGGTATCATCCAGATCCATATTCCAGTGTCGTGCAAGATAAAACAAAAGACAGCAGAAAAAACTCTTTTTTATTATTTTTAATAACCTTTCCCGGCCGGTAGCCGTAGACTGGTATTAATCGGTGTAAATCCGTGGTGTTAACGATGCCCCAACATCGGTCCATATCCGCAAAGTAGTCCTGAAAGAATCAGTTACATTTTCCAGCGGTGTGTATACGATAGGCAACCAATGCGTTTTATGATAAAACTGGCGTGGTTGCCGGCCGGACTTCCAAAGGCCCAGCGAAGCATCGCTAATCATAAAACAATGTTCCAGGATAATTGGCCGATGTATATTACATCGCTCATACATTGGTGAACATCGTTCGAACATCGTTTGACTATGGGCCAATGTTTGGTCGAACATCGACCGATGATCGGCCGTAATCTGTTAAACACCACTAAAACCCCCGATGACCTCAGATTCAATGGATATTGGACGATGCTCGGCCATACATCAGCCAATCCGTCCTAGCTGCGTTAATGATGGGTTGCCTATGAGAATCGTTGGAGACATCGCTGAATTTTAGCGACGAATTATTTCCTACCGATGATACCCCAACCCACCCCCCACCCCCCGATTCGAAAAATGACCCAAGTCACCGTCCGATCACTAGTGGTGCCCGGCCGGCAACCACGCCATTTTCATCAAAAAACTCATCGGTTTCTCATCGTATACCCCATCGCTGGATAATGTGACTGATACTTTTACCGAGTGGGCAGGCTGGGGGAAAAGCGTCTGGTTTTAATAATTTCCTGGTTTGAAAACGGGGATAACTTTCGGTAAAATTATGATAAAATTAGCAAGCAGTTTAACTCGTTATACATCTTTGAATATTCCTGATTAAATACCTCATGTATCATTCCAAATAACTGAACATAGAATCCCTGTCCCAAATTAATAATTTACTATTTGATATAAAATTAAAAAAATCTTGATTAATTTATTAAAAATTGATATATAAACGGAACAGAAAAAAGATATTGTTATCTAACAACGCAGGACAACTATTTAATCTTTTTCTCGATGCTTTGACCTTGATTATAGATATGAATATAGGACAACCGGACGAAGCCAAGTTTAAGTACTTCAACTTGTACCGAATATGTACTGAATAAAAGGGTTTAAAAACTGTGGCTAAAGGACAGATGATACAAACAAATTTTATCTTTGGAGAAGACTTAATATTACATGTATGTCACAAGTTTAGAGAAGTGGATAATTCTTATATTTTTTTCTCCTAAGAATTGGAAAATGAAATAGACCGTTAAACTATTACTAATATATCAATATTATTGGAGATATGAAAAAAACACACCCAGTAAAGGTTTACAGATGAAAACAAATTTCAGAATATGTTACCTTGGTGATAAAAGTGTAATATGAAATTGAGAAAAATATACCAAACCAGGTGAATTTTATTCATAAAAGCAAAATGGTAAAAGTCAATGTGATATTGTTGATTTTATTCATTTTTTTTGTCCTCATAAAATTTACCCGGCTTGGTATATTTTTCTAAAGTTTATATTACACTTTAAACACCAAGATAACATATTCTGAAATTTGTTTTCACCCGTAAACTTTTTCTGAGTATGATTTGTCTATATGTGTTTTTTTATTAAAATATTACTTACATTTTCCAAATCCATTTCATTTTCCAATTCTTAGGAGAAGAAAAAAATCTAAGAATTAACCACTTTTCGAAAGTTGTGACATGATATAAAGTCTCCTCCAAGAATAAAATCTGTTTGTATCATCTGTACTTAATTTTCTATATGGTATTTATAAGCGAAAAATATTGATTTTTGTTTTACAAAAAAAAAACCTTTATTCATCTCGATGATTCAGCACCACTCCTTGAGATGATTTTAATTCAAAGGTTATTAAAAAGTTTTGGACAAAGGTAAATCAAAAGTTCGTCGAAAGGTGCAATATAATTTATGCTAGGTAGATACAATTTAGTTTAAATTTGGTCGGACATCTTTTTTTGGTTTATAAAAAATATATACGGTCAATTCAAAGTATTGTGAATGACCAATACAAAAAAGGAAAGCGTTTATGCATTTAAACTTGAAGTGGATTCATTTCTATTAACAAATGTCAATAAAATTATATCATATAATATTTATTTATAAATGCTTAACTTTTATGATGATATATTGTTCATTTATTCACACCAAGGTTAGAGCTCTTTTCTTGTTACTTGCAGCTATGAAAACTTTTATCGTTTAACTGTCTTTTTTATAAAATGATTAAAAACTATATGTTAATCTGTAATTGTTGAATTCCTAAATCAAAAGAGATATATTAAGATCCAGTATATGAAATTCCCTTAAATTCTTACACAAGTATGATATCCGTCTTGCTACAGCTATTGGAATGAATTTCCTATTTTTGTTTCAAAATGCTACACCTCCGAAAGTTTGATGTCTTTTAACAAAAATAGGTGGTAGTGTAGGAACCATAAAAGTACACAATTCTAACAAGAAAGGGAAAATGTGTTTCAAGTCTTTATGCCATTTAAAAAAAAAAGGATTTTACAATTGTTTTTTGCAAAGAAAGCAAATAACACAAGACTTTTGTGAGTTACAAATGTTAAACATCTGTATACACGTAGTATTAGTGATGACCAGGGGGATGGACTATCTCCATTTTTAAATGCACAAATAGTCTTCTTCTATTATGAAAGTCCATTGAAAGAAAGGCTTGAGTGTCCCCAGATATTGAATTTTTTAAAGATTGTTATGATCAATGAAATTTAGTTGTCAAAGGAAGTTAAAACCGAACCCCTTTCCGAGAAAATAGGATTTTTCAGTTTGGATTTTTTTCTTTTCTCTTTCGAGGAAATGGGGTGGTGGTGAGTATCATTGTTTGTAAGTGAAGTCTTCATATTTTTCTGCTCTCACCCCCCCCCCCCCACAAAAAAGAAATTTTCTGGCTGGCCCCCTCCCCCATTTTCAAATAACGATGCTACGTGCTTGGATATGAGTGTAGAAAACCAGGTTAAGCAAAATTTTAGTACGTTTTTTTTCCGAAAAGGAATTGAGTTAGGGGGTTTAAAAACTGCATGTGGCCTAATTTCTTTAGGTTATTTATAAGAGAAAGATATTGATTTTTTTACAAAAGGAATGCAGGTAAACCTCGGTATCTCGACATCGGATATGTCGACAACCTGGGACATGTCAACGTCCGCCCGCGGTCCCGGCATTATTTACTGTATAAATAATTTGCAAAAACTCCGATATGTTGGCCTCGGTAATGTCCACTACCCCGCTTATCTTGACATATTTCATAATCACAAGAGCAAAATTTACCTGGTATATGTCGAAATCGCGGCAATTTTCTGCTCTACTTAACCTAATTGTTTGTCAGCTGGTCGCTCGTCACGCACGGACGACTCCGTGTATCTCGACATAGTCAGAAATTCACACCTTTCACACCTATGTTTTGAATACATTCTGCTCTGTAGAAATGTGTTTGTAGAGGAGTCCCAAGCCCCCGTGGCGTCTCTAATACGTTAATTGTTTAATTTCAGCTTGGGTATAAATTCATTGAAAAATCTCGAGTCTGTGTAAATGTAGGGCTTAAACCGTTCATAATTGTCGAAATCTGACAAAACTTTAAACATGTTATTAAAAGAAAAGTAACTGAATAACATATGTATATACAATCATATGAGAATCACATGTGGCCAATGATATGAGAATCATATGATCATTCATATGTTAATCATATCAAGTAATATACATATGATTCTCATATAAAAGGTCCTACATATGAGAATCATATGTATATTTTGGAAGTCGTCATATGAGAATCATATGAAACTGATCATATGAGAATCAAATGAAACCATATTCACTAATTTGCCAATAGAATCATATAAAACAGTATTCACTTATTTGCCCTTGGTATACTCAAGTAAAATTGCAATTTCAATAATATATATATTGTAATTTAAATGTACATCAATTTAAAAAAAAAATGTTAGCAATAACTTACAGTACCGACCGGACACAACCTAACACCAAAGCGAACCCGGAGCAAACCCTGGGTTCGCTTCCCGGGTTCGCTCGGGGTCCGCTTCGGGTTCGCTTTCAGAAATTTTGGGACCGCTCCGGGTGCGCTTTGGGTGCGCTCCGGGTTCGCTCGGGGTCAGCTCTGCGTCCGCTAGAGCGAACCCGGCGTTCGCTTCCTGGGACCGCTTTACGCACTGATGCGTGAAGCGGACCCCGCTTTAATCTCACCGCCAGTAAGCCCCGCCCCTTGTATATCCCAATTCAGTAATGGTATTGTGGATCGATCATTGTTGTTTATATGCGACGATGCGGACATGTACACTGTACATGTAAACAGTAATATAATGGAGAACATTGATAAATTTTCTAAAATTCAACTCTACCTTCGACGTAGATTTAAATGTACATGAGTAATTGATTTCCTTGATTTCTCGATCCCGAGAAATTCCGTCTCGTTATCGACAAGAAGGGCGTTCTGTTGCAGAAATTCAGAGGCTTTTGAAGATTCACCATGGGACTAGTGTTTCTAGAGAGGCCATCTACAAGTTTTTAAGACATGGGACAATCGTGAGGAGAAGACTCTCAAAGTTTGTGACGAAGAGAAAACTGTTGTCGGTGCATAAACAATTTATTCACGTGTGGATGTCCCAAAATAAGGAACTAACGGCTGGAACAATTAGAAACCGATTAAGAGAACTGTTCCATGTGAGTGTGTCATTGTCCACTGTTAATAAAGCCAGACGAGAAATGGGGTGGAGCAGCAACACTGGGAAGTACTGCCAGCAGATCAGCCATGCCAACAAGCGGGTAAGTACGAACGTTATGTTTATTTCATCTGTGTTATTCAGGATTTTTGTTTTGGTTTTTGTTCGTTTGTAATAAAGTAGACCAACCAAGCTAAAATCAAATAAACATGATAAAAACAACTGGACTTTAAATTTAGAAAACATTTACCTCGGCGAAATTTGAGAGAACACAATCATGATCATTTATAATATTTTCAAAATAATTGATTTTGAAAAGCACCAAATTCTTAATAATGCCTACAAAGTTACTATTTCCTGTTTGAAAGAAAAATAAAAAAAAATAGAAACAATCAGATTGCATTAAACTTGTTTCTGCCCCTTGGCCTGTATGTTACTGACAGCACTGCAGTTGAACAGGCTGTAAAACCAAATGTGACATTTATTTAATAGGAAATAAATGGTAAATAAATGTTTCTTACCATGCTTACTGTTACACAATTAATATGTTCACGGTGCAACCGTTATGGCGAGCGCAAATGTTTATTTTATTAGAATTTAGATCAGGCTCATACGTCAAACTGCATATGATATTTGATGCGTCTAGACTCTGATGTCACATGACGTCGTATGTATACTAAGTTACATTTTCCCCAAAGCTGAAAATAAATGATGAACGTTTTGTTTGCTATTTATCTACAATATTTATCCATTTAATCAGGGCATGTTTACTTTAAGTGTAGTGTTGTAAAATCGGACAAATTTTACTATCGATTATCAAATTGAATCGGAAGAACACAATCGCTTACATAATCGATAATTTGAACTATTAAAATAGGTTAAATTTATTCATTCAGCACCAGTAGAATTTCATGACATGTGACCGCGAACTTCAACTTATCTTTGACATACGAATTTTTACACAATTTACAAATAACCATGTCCATCTATAAATTATTTTTGCATGGAGGCCCATCGCCCTTTTTCCGAAAGCCAAAAAACTCCAAACTTTAGATCGTGTTGCACCAGGATATGGATATAATTCGGCGTCAACCTCTTCACAATGCACGTTCACCATTTTGTTTACCGGCGATTAGAGTGACGTCCCTTTGGTGAATATAAAAGTTAAACCCTGATCGGCTTGAAAAATACGGCTTGAAAAATATAGCGATCTATCGATGATAATATTTACAATCGATTGTCGCCGATCTGGGCCTTTAAACGACGATTTTTCGATAGTCGGCGACTATCGTAACAACACTATTTAAGTAGAAACTTTTGCTGCTATTCTCATGAGAATGTACTTTAACATAGCTTTAACAAGTGTTGCATTGTGGGTCTAAATTACTGCATCAAAAAATTCTATCGAATGAATGTGCAGTAGTCCAAATTTTCTCTTCGTACAGGCGTTGCTTTAAGAGCTCGCAGTGACGAGCGTCGCTTCACGACACTCGCTGCGCTTGCTATTAATTTATTTCATTGTATATAATAAAATGATATACTATTTGTTTAATAATATTGATGCACTAAGAATTTCACACTTTTTTGAAGTGCCTGCAACCTATTTAATGTTTTATTTCATTTTCAGGCTCGAATGCAATGGTCCTGTCAGATGTTCAGGAGACAAGAGGACTTCCATGATGTCATCTTTGCTGATGAAAGTTCTGTGGAAATGAATGCCCATGGAAAGCTTTTTTTCCACCATTGTACCGCAGGGATGCAGATGTCAACACGCAAACGATCAAGGCCAAAGCATGCTTATAAGGTAACTAAAGGTGTTTCAAATTTTATACACTAACAATTTCTATAGGAAGATTGTAGCAAAACAAGGATCTGTGCCAATATTCAGCACTCATCATGTTGCTATTTTTTGATTATGTCACTTTAAAGGAGCATCTACTATCAAGTAATCAATGCTAGAGTAGAATTATTTTTTCTCGGAATGCGAATAGCATAACAACTTCAATGTGCCCTTTGTATTTGTTGCTTGCTATGATAATATAGAGTAGATACAGATGACAGACTTCAGATGTCTGTTGTCTAATGGTTGGTTTGTTTTTAGTTCAAAGCTCAGTAACATAAATATATACTTGAATGAAATATAATATATTTTTATGCCACAATACATGTATGTTTTATGTTTTTAATTACACCTATCTGCTTTTAAGATTGTAAAAAGAGAAGAAAAAAATTTTGATTAATGGAGCAAATTGGATCACATCTGATCTAAACACCCCTTGCTTTCTTTTCAAATTAGTCAACATGGTGCAAGCTACTGTTTGAATAGTGATGAATTGTTGACAAATGCATTGAATTTTTTTCAGGTCCATGTTTGGGCAGGAATTTCATACAGAGGAAGGACCCCAATATGCATATTCACCGGCATCATGAACTCTTCCCTGTACCAAAGGATTTTGTCGGCCAAATCTGGACGATAAAATTAGTTAGGTGTTCTCATACGATAAATCTATCAGCAGTTTATCTAAGAAATTCCTTATGGAATCTTAGTGCCTCGCCATGGTGTAACTGGTAAGAATAATTTAATACTAATTCTGATTTTAAGCTCTTGAAATTAAATAAATATTAGTGGGTGTAAATTTGTACGAGTGTGTCATTTTCATTGCAGGTCATCTTCATTTGTACTTCCTTTATGTACTTCGTTTATAGATTACTTATTTCATCGTTCCTGCAAAGTGCCATTAAATAAATATATGAACCTCCACTGAGGAATATTGTGTAGACTGAATTATCATTTCCTGAGATGAGAGACGTGCATCGTCTCAAGCCACAGTCCTGAATCCGCATATAGCTCTCTCCTACCTGTGGCTGCTTGATCACAAAAAGTGTCATAATCTTAAATATTTTAGCTATACTTTAATGAGCTACAAGATATTCTTGTCTCATGCAACCACGGCCAGAATGGGAGAGGACTGTACTGCATTCATGTGTTAATGGTTTGCGACGATGGGAGACCCATGACTTAATGTAATTAACATGATTAAGACAAAAATAAAGAATTGACGGTGGGATGTCTAGCAAATAATTATTTCTAAATCAGCATGGTACTACATGTACTAGGAATGAGGAGATGGGATGGAATTGCCAATATATAAGATACTGACTGTAGAAAACTTTGCGACTACATGAATTCATGGCCCTCTATTCAACTTGTCTGACCACCACACAGATCTATATATCATATGGTTCGCTAAGTCATGTTAGTGTTTTGGGGGAAGAAAAAAAAAACATACTACCATATTCAATAGACACTGCTCAAAGGATGAAAAAGGGACTTCACATACACAAATATACGCATGATTTATGTGCTTGTAGAAAAATACTAGGCTAGCGATTCATGTACATGTATATAGCCAGCTGGTAGCTTAGATGATATAAAATAGCAACAAAATGTTACAAGAAATATTAAACTGTCATTTGTAGGTCATCAATAATTTGTTTGTTCGGTTTTTTTTAAAGAACACATAGCTACAAGCCTGTAAAAATAGTATGTACTTACGTTTCGGTTTCGACGAATCCCGGCGAATTTTATGGCTGGCTTCAGACACGTAAATACTCCAAGATAAACATTAAACAATCTCCTTTTCTTTATAGTCATCTTTGTTACACCAATGTACACTTACAATCAACGCAAACAGTTGGTTAACGATGTATTTTCGAGCAATCAAACGAAAACACATCAGACACTCGTCCCTCTCTCCAGACTTGCTGAATGGACGCAATATCCGGTTTATTCACAACGGTTAAATCGTACGTAACTAATTTCGCAAAGTATAAACATGTAATAGATAATTGTTTCGCATACGACACGATACTTTCCATGAAAGGGTTTTATTTTTTTTTTTTTCGTTTTCTTAAAATAGTTCTGTAAAATTAATAAACCTGTTCTTGAATCTGATTGGCTGAAGGATGTGGGATGGGATAGGATAGAAATAGAATAGGATAGGATTGCCCTCATAAATGTTCTATCGTGAATCCTAAATCCTATATCCTGAATCCTATATCCTATCCAATCCCATCCCATGTCAACTTATAGGATAGCAGCACTGTAAACATTACAGTTTACATGTTAGGCTAAGGGCATTACCTTGTTTTCTTTTTGTTTTGACTTTTGTTACATGTACGTACTGATTTGAAGTAAAAGTAGAAACCCTGTATAGGAGTTTGGCATTTTTGTATCATGTATGTTGAAATCGTTATCAAGTCGATTCTTTCATCAACTTAATGACAATTGTTTGTTTTTATGGCCTATAGATGCATTCAACAACTTTTTCAGTGTCACCGTGCGGCTTTTTTATTAAGTCCAAGAAGCCCAAAAGCTGATACGACTGGCGATTGATCAAAAAGCTGATTGTGACAGACGATTCGATTGCATCATCACAATATTAAAGGTAAAAAGAAACACTTACAATAAAAAATCAAAGTGTACATCTGTAATGAATCCTTCATGGCAAAATATTTCTTGATATTTTCTTTTTGTTCTTTTATAATTCTACATTGTTTGCATGGCTTTATCAAAAATAAATTCAACTCAATAATATAGAAGTTGCATTCTACATTATGAAACAATTTTTATCCAATGCACTTTTAAAATATGGTAAGTATAAATAGAATATACTGGCCTTAAAACCTACATATATGAAACAATACAATAACTTTGGGGGGGGGGGGTAAATAGAATTTTTGAATTTCAGCAAAAAATTAATAATAACAGTGGCAACTTGCAAGGTACATATATGCATGTGTATGTGTTGAAAGTACATCAGATAGCTAATCCATTGAATATTTTCATCTATGTATTCCTTGACAGACATATAAAAAAAAATTCCAATGCTTTAAATTACTAATAAAGAACCTAGTTTCAGGTAAAATGTAAGATATTTAAGACTATTGAGAACCTTCACAATTGTATACTCTCTTTTTTGTAGTTTAAGTTTAAGTTATGCTTTGAAAATATCTAGTGTGTTAATATTGGCTTTACAGGTTCAATATACAGTCAGCCTCCCATATGAAAATATCCAAAGATCCTAAAGCTTGTTTCAAAGTAAAGGTAACTTAACACACTGTTTAACAGACTTTGTTATATTCTTCCCAACAAAGTTTGGGATATCCTGGAATCACAAAGTCTGTTTTTCTGCTTATCTACTTGTCTGTAATTTTCTTTTTATCCAAAAGTAATGTATTTGTGTTAGAATCTTCTTAATTTTTGGCGTTAATACTATTTGATCATTCCAAATTCAGTTGACAAAAGTAAAAAAATGATTTTAATATGAAGCATATCTTTCAATAGTGTAATTTTCTTGCAAAATTCAATTGTTAAAATAAAAAAAAATGCTTTTATGATTTTATTATGAAGCATATCTTCCAACAGTGTCTTGCAAATTACATCATAGGATTTCACAAAACACCTAGTATAACATATATAACATTAGTTTTATCTCGTATTATATCTGTGTCGGAGAATTGGGAATACATTTGTTTGCTGATGATAAGTTACTTTAATATAACTTGTAGAATTGATTTTGTAATTTAAAAATAATTTTATTTTTATTTTTGAAATTTTTGTAGAGACCATTCTGTGCCACAAAGAAATTGTTCAGATAGGGGGGAACTGGTGGATTTGCATTTTTGGTACAATTCAAAGAGATTTTCAAAATGGTCAGATCAGAGGGAGGCCAACTGAAAATATTGAAAAGATACAGAAGGAAAAAGAACCTGGATATATATGAAATGATTGTGAAATGTGGAGGATGTACACAATCTTGTCTGAATTTGAAAAGATTTCCCATTTTTATTTGTATGCTAGTATATCAAATAACTTGATTTTCCATAGATTTACAATAGAGAATACATGACAAATGTTATTGCTGATATTTCAATTTTGCTGTGGAAACTTTCATGTTATATCGTATTTTTATACAAGTATATGACCTAATTATTTTATTCATTTGTACATGTATATATGTTTAATAACTTAATCATTATACTGAAATCTTTGTAATTTGTACTCATTTTAGAATATGTTAAATACATGTATCGACAAATGCTACTTACTTGTTTGTATATTTTCTTGTTTAGAATGTACACTGTGAAAAATAAGTTATTTCTCTTGATGAAAATAATTTTATCAAAAAAGTTATTTAAGCATTATAAGATATTTTAAAATATTTAACCAATGAAGATAGATCATTGTAATGTAATGAATTTTCATCTAAAGCAGAAATATCTGATTTTTAAATGTGTTCAAGAATGTGAAAAATATTGAAAGAGAACACACTGTTTCATATGATTTACACATGATGCCTCTTTCATATGATTCTCATATGTAAATGGCTTGAAACACACATAAGTGTTTCATATGATTTATATATGATGCCCTTTTCATATGATTCTCATATGTAAATGGCTTAAAACACACTGAAATCATTCATATGCAAATCATATGTAGTTATTTTCATGATTCACATATGTGGATTATATGTAAATCATATAATTTTCTTCATATGATTCACAAATGATGCCCTTTTTCTATGATTCTCATATGAAAACAATTATATGAGAATCATATGATACTCATATGAAAATCATATGTGGCTAAGTTGCCTGTGTAAGCTTGTTAATTGCGCAATTCCAATTAAATTTGGTTTGAAAATGAAAGGAAAAATAATGATGAATGATTATGAAATAAAAAAGAAGTAAAATGAAATAATTTAAAAAAACATTCTGTATCTCGGAAGTCGACATTTTACCGTTTCTGTTTCGAGTTTATAGAGCGCATTTGTATCCTGTTCTGACAGAGCTACTGGCATGCGGATCAAATGCTGGTGGGAACGCGGTTTTTAGTAAAATGTCATCGTCCAAAGAGTTCATTTTCATGAACCCATGGTCCTTACAACTTTCAGTCAACAGTTCGTTTGATGTTAGGCTCCAGCAATTGTCACATAATGTTTTCAAAGATAGCAAAAATTCTAAATTTTGAACACGATCTGCTTTCTTTCGAGGGATGTCCACATAAACGGTGCTACGTCATCAAATTATACGTCATCAATTTGAATTAGCAATCATTCATATAGTTTCGCAGAGGAAGTCTCAAAGTTTTGTTAAAACGAAAGTCGTATGAGATGAATAGAACATCTATAATTGTGTGATTTGATATTGGCCTTATCCAACTCGTTGAAATGGTGAATATTCGCTCCGCATGTTTGAAAGATCATTTATCAGTTCATGACAAGCTAAAAAAAATGTTCAGACGGAAGTTATCTACTAAAGAAGATTATTCTTAATATGTATTACAGTCAAGTTAAGCTTGGGGTTTATTATTTTTTATATTATTCTTTTAAACATTCATATATGTAGACATCTGCATTACCAGCGCTAAAATTTAAGATTAAAAATCGGGATCGAAATACAAAAATACTGT